ATATATATGCCTTATTAATTTTCTTCTATGTAATATGTCACTGGTAGTATGTGATGACCCAGAGTGCTATTTTATAGAGTAATTTTGTCAATTGCTAATTCTTTTTTTTTTTTTTTGACTATGCATTATTTGAATAGATTTCCAAGACTCTTGGTAGTATTTTATCATATATCAGCTATATGTGGAGTGCAGCTTTGAATTATTCTTATATAGCTGGATATTTCCTGTATGTACTACCAAAATTATATATTTTAACTAGAAAATGTTGTTTTGAAATTTCTTAGGAAAAGATAATACCATTATCTTAAAAGAATTGTTGTGAATCTGATTCACATTATCAGTCTTCTGACCATTTCTCTGTCTAGGATTATAAGTWTTTAGAGTGAATTTGTTCTCCATTTTTATTAATTTTATAGGGAATAACCCTTTGAAAAATAAAATAAAACAAAAACTCTAAAAATTAAAAAGATCACGACTACCTCTAAATTTTTCTTTGAAAGAAATGTATAGATACATACATTCATGTTCCAAACCTTCACAAATTTTGTTCCATTAATATACTTGGTGTTTAGTAACTTTTTTCCACATGTTCAAAGATGATTCAAGATGAACCTCCTCAAAGAAAGACTGGACCAGTTTGTTACCCCATCATTGTAGGACTCTCTAGATACACTTAGATAAAGTACCTACTCCAAGCAAAAACTGAAAATTATATCAATTAGAAGGGGAAAATAAAATCCAGACTTCAGTTTCTACATTAAATTTTTAAAAATAATGATGATTATGACTTTTCCAGGTGATAGTTTTTCACATTGCTTTTGAGTTTCCCAGGTGACAGTTTTGCACATTGCTTTTGGAGTTTGTTAAGAAGTGTAGCCAATAAATTAATAACTTAATGCTTAAAAATAATTTAACCTATGAAATTTAATACATTTTAGTACATTTTCTGGTTAACACAGTTTTGATTTCATATATTATTAAAAACAACAGGAAAGTTCATTTGATCTAATCATTACTCTGATAACTACTTTTTTAATATTTATTTTTTAGTTGTAGTTGGACACAATACCTTTACTTATTTATTTTTACGTGGTGCTGAAAATTGAACACAGGGCCTCACATGTGTTTTTTTGAGCTCTACTGCCGAGCCACAATCCCAGCCCCTTTGATAACTACTTTTGGAATAATACTTTATTCCAAAACAAGTTGCAAAAAAAAAAGTGTTTTACAAGTACCACATCTTCATCTCTTACATGTTTTTACAAATATTACCTGGAGAGAGAAATATCAAAACATAAACGAAGGAATTGGCTGCCAATCCAACCCA